TAAACAAATTATATACGGTTAATTATCTGAAACGGTTGGAAAAAAATTAAAAAACGGAAAGCATAATAGTATATATATACTATTATGTTTTCCGGTTTTTAATTTTTTTCCATATAGTATATATATATACTATTATGTTTTCCGGTTTTTAATTTTTTTCCAACCGTATTCAAATATTTAAAAACCAAGATAAAATATTAAAAAGCCAAGTTTCTAATTAAGTTATTTAATTACAATAATAATTACAATATTTTGATGGAGGTTAAACTAACTTTTTAATTAAATAACTTAATTTAATTCAAAAGTTAGTTTAACTTCTATCAAAATATTGTAATTATTATTTTTTAACAATCGCAAAATTATGAAACCGATATATAATTTTGCGATTGTTAAAAAATAAAATTATGAAACCGATATATATCGGTTTCATAATTTTGCGATTGTTAAAAAATAATAATTATAATATTTGATGGAGGTTAAACAAACTTTTGAATTAAATAACTTAATTAGAAACTTAAATTAGTATACCTTAATTTATTTTGTTATATAGAACTTTATTTTTAAAATTTTTTATTTTATTTTAAAATTATTATTTTAGATAAACTTTGGACTTCCCTTTTAGATACACCCTGAGTAGAATTTTTATCAAGATTTATTGTTCAACTATCACCAGGGAGTGAAATTAGTTAGTAACAACAAGTGTATGTTAAAACATATCAATATTCTCAGTTATATTACACTGACTATGTATCATTTTAATAACTTGCATTTTAAGTAATAAATAAGGAGAAAAAAGGTTTTAAATATGGAAAATAAAATTCGGACTTTCCTTTTAAATACACCCTGCTTAATTTATATTTTATTAAATTCATTAATTTTATTAAACATAACAAGGCTGATGATTAGTTCAAAATGTTGCTTAATTCACAAGTTAATATAGCATTTAAAGAAAAAGTTAGTATGATAAAGAAAAGCATCATTTCCTTATATTAATTGTATAGAATTTTTGATATCACGATATCTTTAGATACAATAATCTCTGCCTTCCTTTATTGTCAATAAAAGAAGGCAGGAGAGTTATTACAAGTAGATGCTGTTTATAGTTGTATCAATAAAAACTAGTATTTGTTCCTTGGTTTTCTTTAATAATCAAGAAGAAGATTTTAGACTTATTAAGTATAAATTTTAATCAGCCATATTGTTTATCCTTTATGGAATTTATAAATTTTGTTTCTATAGTAAAAAATATTGTCAATCAACACCTCCAAATATGTTTTAAACAAGCTTAAAAATTGCATTTCAAATTATTTTAACTTAGTTATCACTGTTTCGTTGTTAGACTATCTGGTTACTGAGTTTAACACAATGATGTATTGATACAATTTTGAAGTGTTATAAAGGCACCTGTGTTTTAATTTCTTTTTTTCTAATATTCAGTTTCTTCTGAAAGCAATTGCAGAAATTCAATGTTTTGTTATACTAGTTGGGTAGACCAAATCATATGTTTTAGTGTCTTTTTGTTTAACCAAAGGCTTTATTAGGTTTATTTATTATTTCAGAACCAAAGGCTTTATTACTTGAATTCGATCTGTGGGAAGTTTATTTGATTTTCACTTAACTGCCTGAATTTCAAAAATGAACTTTAATCTAATAATACTGAATTATAAGAGAATAGTAAGTAGACGTTGCAAAGCAAAATGGTAGATAAAGTCTAAATGGTTTAGTTTAGCTTTTAGTCTATAGATAAAAAATAAGTTTTTAACAAGTTTGTTATAAATACTTATGAATTGTGTTTTAAGTTAAATTCAAATATTATAAAAGTATAACTTCAAAAAATGTCTAAGCTGCCTTTTGTTAAACAGCTATTTTCAGAGCCAGACATCTTTGTAAAAACATTAATTATCATTGTACAGTTATTAAAATAAGTTTTTTAACTCTAAGTATTTATAAAGTTTATCTATAATTAAAAGTTATTTATAAAGTTAGATAAAATAATTTACACTGCAAAATCTTGTATTTAACAAATTTTAACCTGTATGTATTATACATTCCCAGTGGGCATTTCGACGTCGAACGAACGTCGAGCGACGTCGGATCTCGACGTCGGATCTCGACGTTGGGTTTACGTTGGAAATGGAAATGTTATTTGACGTCGGATAAACTGACATCGCGCGACGTCGGCATTCCGATATAAATCCAACGCGTTTTTTGAAAACTAAAAAACGTTGCCTATGGCAGGATTCGATTAAACACTAAATCCTACGCGCTTACCACTACACCACAGGGACATAATATTTAATGTGTTTATTTAGTAATTTATACTTGTAGCTATTTGGGAATTATTACTTTGATAAGAAATAATTTTGTTTAAATATTATATAAATATTAAAACGAATAGTTATATATTATAAAAAATGTATACTCGAAAATGTTAATAGTTAAAAAACTATGCTAGTGCATCATACAAAACTTCATGATGTTTTATCAACCATTATTCAAACTTCTTTCCATTAATAAAAAACACGCTTAGTTCACATATTTATTGAAGAGCGCAATTGCACACATATTGTTGGGTTTGGATTAAATTTTCATCAGCGATGTCTTACGACGTTGTTCCGACGTTGTTTTAAGGACGTTGGATTGACGTCGAAAGACGTCAAAAGACATCGGAGTACGTTAATATTATGACGTTGCCCGACGTCTTTTTATCGACGTTGGATCGATGTCAGTACTGCGACGTTTTTTGGACGTCTTTTATAAGATGTCGGAACAACGTCAAAATACATCGAAACGACGTCAGGGGATGTTAAAATAAAGACATCGCCCGACGTCATTTTACTGACATCGGAACAACGTCGGAATAGGTCTTTTGACATCGCTGATGAAAATCGTACGTAAATCCGACGTCGGATTGACGTCGGGTGCCCACTGGGTTACAACAACTGAGTATTTTCAAAAAATAATTTTTTAGTTTGAAAAATCATATTTTGGGCTTTAGTGACCATTTTATCTATGTTACAAGTCATTTAAAGAACCATTGAAACATTTTTATAAAGTATACTCAATCTGGTCAAAATCCGGTCCCCCTTCTTAAAAAAATAGTAAGGCGGAAAAGGGCATTTTTTTGGACTTATCTAAAAAAAATCCTGTAAACGCCCCTGAAAGTGTATTATTATTATTTCACTAGAGACATTGTATTTTTATTAAAAATTAACCATATATATATTTACAAAGGGCTTCATAAAAAGATCCTCATGATCTTCTAGAAGTCCTGTCGTTACTAATGTAAAAATATTGAAAATGTGAAATATATTTAGATATTGTAATATTAAACGGCATAATAGCAATAATAATAATAATAACAATAATAATAATAATAATGATAATATATATATATATATATATATATATATATATATATATATATATATATATATATGTATACATATATGTATGTATTTATAGCATCTAAAGTTTTTACTTTTTTTATATTTTCAGCTATATTTTTTCATCTTTGAAAGTTGATTTTGGTGCTTATCTACTTAAAAATGGTAATATAAGTAATAAATGCGTTTTTAATATTACATTCTTTATTAAAATCAGTATTTTGATAGAGCATTTATTTAGTATAGCTAAATCATTTCAATTATATGGCATAAAATACAATTACAATATAAGGTGCCAACTCTAACCCTATTTTTCTCTAAAATACTATAAAATCTGAGTTTGTGTGCGACCCCCACGGAGACTAGCACAAACCTCAGTGAGAGCTTTAGAACATTGATTACTTAATGTTCTCAAGCTCTCACATCTAGTTTACTCTAAAAAAAGTCTTATCATTTCAAAACCCTTTTTATATCAAACTAGGATTGGTAAAACAGATTGTAAAAGCCCTAGATTTTAGATGAGAGACTTCACAAGAAATTCTTCTTATGCTTTCAAAGCTATCTGAGTCACAGACCAGAAGTGGTATATTCGTTGGAACCCAAATAAAAGTACTTTTGAAGTCAGAAAAACTCAAAAAAGCAGTGGAAAAAGTTGAAAAAAAAGCTTGGTGTGAGTTTTGTCATGTAGTTTTGAGGATTCCTAAAAAATATCAAGAATCCTATTTACAAACAACTGTTTGCAAAACTTATTGAAAAGTTCAAGAAACTGAATTGTTGTATGTCTATAAAGGGTTATATGTTGTATTAACGTCTAAGCAGTCGTGGCGCTGTGGTAGCACACTTGCCTCAGAAACAACGGATCCGTGATTCAAACCCCACCTCTAGGCAAATTTTGCGATATTGGTTAGGAAGGAGGCGTGAACATCTTATTAAATGCTTATCCGCGGTGCTCAGTAATAAGACCGTAAGAACTTCTTGGGGCACCTAAATAAAATTAAAAAAACAAATAACCTAAATTTCTTCCCCGAAAACATGGGTGATGTCGGTAAAAAGCATGATGAAAGAAATTTCACCAGGATGTGGCAAAAATGGAAACTAGATGTCAAGTACAATGGCATTCTATTATGATGGGAGATTATATATGGCCTCTAATCAGAAAAGATGAAAGTATGCACTCAAGAAAAACGCACCATCAAAACACTTCTAACATTGAGGAAAGAGTCTATTGTAAATAATTGCTTTGTTTCTTTTTGTTTACTCTAATATCTTACTTTCTTAATACCTTTCAATATATAAAAAAGTGCCATATTCTATGTAATTATCTTTACAGTATGAAAATAGACTTATACAATATACTGACCGAAAATTTGCGCTTATATCAAGAAAATATGGAATTAAGCATGAATTAAAAACTATCGATGTTACGTCAAAACGATATGTAAATAATTATGATAATGTAAATAATTATTATGAAGATGACGAAAATTTAAAAAAGTGAATAAATAGTTAAAAAAGTAAATAAAATAACAGTCATAAATAAAATTTTTTTAATTACAAGTTTAAATATTTCAAGTTACATTTAAAAATATTTTACAAATAGAAATACTAAGGATTATATATATATAAATATATACAAGAAACTATTGTAACAGTTTTCAAAATAAAACAAATAAAGCTCACAGACATCTAAAATAAAATAATGTAACGATTCACATAACTCGCAATATATACAAATTGCTTCATACAACTGGTATGATATAAATTTTTATTTAACAACATTTATAAATTAAAAAATAAAATCAATTTTTTTGTTCAACTAATTTCCATCTTCGGTTTGTTTCAACCCACTGTCTAAATTTTAAAAAAGGTATCTTCAAATGACAAAATGAAAGCGATAAATATATTATAACAACAGGCATGAATCCATAATAATTCATACAATATGTACTTGTGCATTTGTTATAAAGCATCACTCCAACATTAATAACCACCGCTAATAGCAGTACCGTTGATAAAAAGTAAACAAAAAGTATCCAATCAAACGTTATTGGCGGAAAGTTCCACTAAATTAGATATAATTCTATGAAAATAAAGCTGAATCAAAAAACTTTACAATTTGTTTGAGCTAAATTTACGCTTTTGCAATTATTTTTAGTTGTGTTAAAACACTTTTATGATAAACATAAAATGTGTTTTTAAAGGTTAGATTCCACACAACCGTATATATATATATATATATATATATATATATCTATATATATATATATATATCTATATATATATATATATATCTATATATATATATATATATATATATATATATATATATATATATATATATATATATATATATATATATATATATATATATATATATATATATATATATATATATATATATCTTCTAAAGCAAGAGCTCTAACCACTGCGGCACGGCCTCTTAAATTTAGAAGGTTGATGCAGACATTTAAAAAAAGTTATACATATTTATACACGTATGTATATATATAATATGTATATATACATTTGTATATATACATTTATATGTCTTACATATATATATATATATATATATATATATATATATATATATATATATATATATATATATATATATATATATATATATATATATATATATATATATATATATATATATATATATGTAAGACATATAAATGTATATATACAAATGTATATATACATATTATATATATACATACGTGTATAAATATGTATAACTTTTTTTAAATGTCTGCATCAACCTTCTAAATTTAAGAGGCCGTGCCGCAGTGGTTAGAGCTCTTGCTTTAGAAGCAAGAGATCCCGGGTTCGAAGCTTTGGGCATATTTCGCCCCAATGGTAAGGAAGGACTGAACTTCCTATTTAAATGCTCTTCCGCGGTGCTTTGCAACAAGACCGTTAGGTCTCCTTGGGGTACCTAAAACATAAATTAGTAAAAAAAAATTAAAAAAAAAATTGGTTCTATTAAATAAAATAATAAAATGGAGTTGAACGAAAAAAGAATACTGTAATGAAACAAAAAGTACATATATTTTTAGGGGTTCGACATTACTCTTGAACACCAGACGCTCGGTGTAGTTAAGGCACTTTTAAAATAATTTTGAGTCTGTATGATATTTTGTTGACTAAGACATATTTCCGTTAAATAGTCTGGTCGGTGAATTATGAAAAGATTAAAATGATAAATTTTGGCGTATCATAAAATACAAATGTTTGTATTTTATGATTGTTGCGAAAAACCCCAGACCGAATGTTCTTTTTTTTAAAAAAATCTTAAAATCATAGATTTTATATTAATACGTTTTTTAGGTGAAATGAACATTATAATTTAACAATATGATCTGTTCTGATCGTTTATTAGCAATTTTCTATAATTAAAAGCTCTTTCTTGGTCGGAATTTTAGTACTTTTTGTGAAAATTGATAGAAATATTGTTTTTTGACAACTATATATAGTTAATATACGTCAGAACCAATTAGAACTAAAATCAGTAGTAAAATAAGGAACTTTTTCAAAAGGTTTTAACTAAATTCATGTTAATGCCGATGAGCGGAATTGATCTAAAGACTCAAAAAAAGTGTTATTTAGATTCACTATTTCGGGTAGTAAAAAGGTTTTAAAAATTATATAAAAAAAGGAAAGTTTCTTTAAATAATATAAAAAAATTATGCAAAAAAAATTATAACATTTAAAGATCTCGTTCGGACATAATATGCTGACAAAACCATGCTAATTCCAAATAAAAGTATTCGAATATTTTGTAAATTGCCTTAACTACACCGAGCGTGTCCTTAACATTATAATAAAAAAAAAGTTCTACAAAAGTATATCATGTTGGGTCTCAAAAGATGCGAACTTTTAAAAAAAGTTTCAAAAATAGTTATTATATTTAAAAAAATTATAGTTTAAATTCCACAGCCTAAAAAATTTCTTTTTTAATTAAAAATAAAAATAGGGTGGTTTCCGGAAACCACCCTATTTTTATTTTTAATTAAAAAAGAAATTTGGAAAATTGGAATTCCACACTTACCGTGAGTTTAACAAAAGTTATTATATTATGTTAGATTACTCAAAAAGTAGAAATTTATTAGAAATGAATTTTTGCAGCCATCAATGTAGTACTATAAGGGTTAGTCTAAAATTATTCTAACTCTGAAATTTAAATCAATAATGTACTTATTTTGATCAAACTTTTAAAGCGCAGTTTTCCATACTTATCGTAAGTGTTTCACACTTATCGTATATATTGTTGACACTTATCGTATATCTTAAAATCTGCTTTAGTGACTGGTTTACAATGCGCTCGCGGTTTCGAATGAAAATTTAATGCATTAGTAACATTTTATTAAACGTTTTAAGGTATATAAATTAAAAATATATATATTAAATAAACATTAATTATATAGTAATGAAAATATTATTTTGAATTAAAACTAAAGATTTTCCATTTTTTTACTAAAGATTTGTACTAAAGCATTTCCATTACTTTAATACAAATCTTTTAAACTGGAATGGATAGAGTTTCATCATAATTATCTGAGTATTATTTTATAATTATTGTTAACAATGGAACTCGTTTTCTGACTCAGTTTCAAGCTTACTTTTTCTTTTGCGACTTTATTTTTCTTTTTCAAAATTTTTATATTTTCTCTTTCTTTTTTAGTTTTTTCATTTAATAACTTTTTCTTCATAGCCATTTGTTTCTTTCTTAATCTTTCTTTTTCTATTTTTGACTTTTTATCTACAGCTAATTGTTTCTTTCTTAATTTTTCATCATTTATTTGTGGCTTTTCTTGCAATTTTGTCTTTTGAATTTGCTGCCACGTTTCAGATGTTACAACCGATGGTAAACGTTCTATTTTGCGCTTGGACGTTTGGACTGGTTGTTTTGGCCGTATTAAAACACTTTCAATTGGACTTATGATTTCTGCTGCTATTTTCAAACTAAACAAGCTGGTTTTGGTTCTATATCCGCTGCAATATTGCAATCAGGTATTTCCATACCGGTTATAATTTGCACATTTTCTAAATTACAAGTTGTTGATAGATTTTCATTACCCTGTTGTATTTCATCAGGTAAAATATGTGTTTTTCATCAGGTCTTATGTGTTTCAGATGAGGCTCTTTTCCAAAAAAGAAACAGCTGGAGATATTCAAGGTCACCTTTCCAACCTAAATGTTCGTCAGCTATTTTAAACTGCTCTAAAATACTTGGATCAATGAAGTTTTCAATAAAGTTTATGGGAGAGGAAGCTGATAAAGTCACACTTGATTTATTCTCTTCTAAATAAGGAGTCGGAGCCACAGTTGACTCAGATAGTCTTTGAACAATTTTTGTGTAGTCCACACTATTAGCATCAAATGGAAACATTCCGGTATTTTTAAAACCACTTTTAACATTATTTGCCATAGAAGGATCAATTATAAATGAATTTAATGCTTATGGTACATTTTCATTGTTTATTTCTTGTCCTTTATGGTCAATGCGCCATTGTCGGCATAAAGATTTCCACTTTGCTTTCATTGGCCCAAAAACTGCCACATCGAGCGGCTGCAAAATATGTGTTGCATTTGGGAACAAAGCAACAAGAATTATTCCATTTCTAGAGCAAAACTCACTAAGTTCGATAGAAAAATGTGACGCATGACCATCAAAAAAAATAATAACTGGTAAAGGAATTTCTTCTTTTATCAAAAATGGATGAAAAATGTTTGTAATATACTCAAAAAAACATTCTGCGGTCATCCAACCATTTTCACTTTTTCCAATACCCCATTCTAATGGAGCAGTATTTATAATTCTATTTGGAAGACGAACATATTTAAAAATTGTTAATGGTGGAGCAAAAGTTCCGTTGGCATTTACTGCAAATAAAGTGGTGATGCTTTTTTTATTACTTCGAGCACTTTCTTCATATGTATTTTTTTCTCGTTCACCAATTAATAAATTAGTTTTTGGTGACAACTGAAAACCACTCTCATCGAAAACGCGCATCGAATCATTTAAATATTGAGCGTTTTCTCCTAAAAGCTTTGGAATTTCAGTAAACCAATCTCTTATGGTTTTTTCAGTTACTCCTCCTCTAGCTCGGTTTAAGTATTCACCTCGTTTTTGAGATAACTGTTCGTGACGGCGAAGAAATGCATAAAACCAACCTTTTGCAGGACGGTTGTTAGTAAATTGTGTTTTTATATTGTTGGAATTCAAGTATTTTTGCACAGTATTTAATAGCTGTACTACAGACATGGCAAATCCCATTCTGGTGCATGTTAGTAACCACTCGACTAATTTATTTTCAATGTGTTCACCTAGTACCGATTCATAACCGCAGTGTTGTATCTTCAGAGAGGTTTTTCCAGATATTTTATCACGAAGCGTCTGATAAGGAATTCCAAACGTCTTGCTTGCTTTGTACACAACCATACCTTTTTTAACAGCATTAATAGCATCTCTTAATTGGCTATCTGTATATTGAAGTCTTCGTTTTGAGCTACAAACTTTTGTCTTATATTTTTGTCTTGCCATTGTAAAAGAATCTAACTGAAATTTTTATTTTTATAGTAAAAAAGAAACAAATTGATTATTTACTGGACATACGATATGTATGGAATGATATTTTTTTAGTTCATACTTATCGTACGTTCAAAAATACAAAATTGATACTATAATGATGAGTGGTTTTAATAATATTAATAATGATCCATGTTTTATTTACCTTATTAAATCAATTTAGAAATAAAATTTTATCTTATCTTCTTAAATTATCTTGTTTTATTTGAAACGCTTCTAACAGCTGGTACTTAAAAAAAAAGTATTTTCATAGGCTGACGTAATAAGCCCACTGAGTTTATATAAGTAACTATGTATTGCGGTTTCTATGTATTGTAATAGAAGTGCATGACGATGTTGTTGATAAACAAAATATATATATAAAAAAAATAATTACTACTTAGTGCAAAATTTATGTTAGTATTTAAAACCTACGATAAGTGTCGACTCACGCTAGAGTCGACACTTGTGGAAACGACCCTATGCATT